TTGTTTTGATTTACCATGAAAGTTTGACAACTAAAATGAGGGTGTTTGGGCAACGCGCCACTTTCCTATTCGTACTATTGTTAACATTGTAATGCCTGCTATACCGTATTGTGTTTGTACGTTTATTGTATCGTGTGTGAAATATATTCAATCGTCACGAAACCACCACCGCGGCTGGTCGGTAGAATATTCGGTCGTCTTTTAATTTAATCTTATACTGATCACAACGCAGTAGGGTCCTATCGTGCGCGATCATATGGGTTAGTGAATTTTCCTATGTTTCGAGGGGTGAATCGATTAGCTTGGGACCGAAGAGAGTACCAGAGCTGAGCCAAAAAGTTGAGCACGTTATTTCGGGACCTTTTAGTCTTAGAGTTACCTCTATGGTTTCACCTAGTACGAGTCTACGTTGAGTGAGGAAAAGTTCCAGGTTTTTCAACAGCGGTTATTATCGTAGGCTGTCCCTCCTCTTTACTTGCCCGTGTGTGCTAGTAAATAAAGCTCAATTTCAATGATCATAACGTTCAACGGAACCGTATCGGTGGAGCCAGGACGGGCCGAATAACAAGCACCTCTGTACCGGCCAGGAGATAATCGAGACGGTTCTACCAACAATCAATACGATAACGATTTTAAATTGGCTCACTACTTGACTAGCCTATTGGTCCCAAGCAAATCGATTAACGTACCCCATTCTAGTCAAAATTCTAGTACTACGCTCTGTTTGTTTTGATTCGCTATGAAAGTTTGACAGATAAAATGAGGGTTAGTGGATTTTCCTATGTTTCGAGGGGTGAATCGATTAGCTTGGGACCGAAAATAGTACCAGAGCTGAGCCAAAGAGTTGAGCACGTTTCTTCGGGACCTTCTAGTCTTAGAGTTACCTCTATGGTCCTACCATCTTCGGCAGAAGGCCCACCCCGTACAGCGACCGTCAATCATTAGTCAACCATGGTCCTAAACTAGCCCTTCTGGGAGCCGGTGGAGGAAACGGATTTGCACCGAATTTTTCACCGCCCGAGTTTCATCCGTCGGAAAACTGGAAACCTACACCGGCCGAAACACACGTCGGACTGATGAAGGACGCACTACTAACCCGAAACGGGCCAGCCAACTTCATTCAACCGGCACAGCAACAGGGCGCAGTGATGATAGTCTACGGACTCGATAAAAACACAGCCAACACCGATAAGCTGTTCAATTTGTTCTGCCTGTTCGGAAATTTGGTCAGGATAAAGTTCCTCAAGACCAAAGTGGGTACCGCCATGGTAACCTTGAACAACATTCCAATCGGAAATTATGGTAGCAAAATTCATATTCCATTTTCCAAGTAGAACTACATGTCAGGATCCACCTACCCGTACACCCTACCGGACAATTCGATCAGCTTCAAGAACAATCGCTCCTTTCCGGAGCAAGATTCTCCACTTCTTCAATAGCCCACCCGATATGTCCGAGGATCTGCTACTGACTGCATTCACCATCAAGGACTGTCACCCGTCGCAAGTGTGAATGTTCCCGCTGAAATCAGAACGTTACTCCTCCCGATTGGTTGAGTTCTTGAGCATAGCCCTTGCGGTGAACGCCATCAAGTGCAACCGGCAGCGCCCGCGACAGCCCCCCTGTGGCAGCAGCGTCCGTTGGTGTGACGCCCATTTCGGTGACGGGCGGCTGTCTCAAATCCGAACACGATGAACCAATGGAGTTCATGTCCTTAGAAGGAAAGCAAAAGCAATGACGAGACTTGGTGGAGATTCACGGTTGTTTTGAAAAAAAAAATGATAATATTGTGACAACATCAATAACAAATTTTGACACATCGCAGAAAAAGTTCAGTGTCGTTAGTAACTTTAAAGATCAGAAAAATTATAACCATGGGTGCCAAACAGTGCCACTGACTGTGCCCAAGTGTGCCCAGGTGTGCCCAAGCTTGTATTTGGCACACTGTGTGGAGTGACCAACCGCTTGAATTGAACGTTAATTGCGTGTTCGATGAACAACTTGCGTGTGTTATGTCTGTTTATCTGTGATACTTACATTATCAAAGAGGTTTGAGGTGATGTGGCTGGCAGCATGGCGAGCGAACGTTCAATGAAAATGAACTCTTACACAACAATAATTTATGGTGGTCGTGAAGGTTGAGTAATGCTGAGCCTCAACACGAATGAGGCTGGCGACCTGTATGTTGTTTGGAACGAGGGTGGCGCGCTTGGTATAGACGGCCCCCGGTGGCTCACGAAGAGCTACTGAATACGATCAGTAGCGGTGCGGCTTCTTCCTCCTTCTTCGGTGAATGGACGGTCATGTGGGCTGCAGCTCGCTGCTTGTGGGCAGCCTTTCGTTGTGCACTGGGGAACAATGTTCAACGCCACGCACCGAAATCACTGCTGCTGCTGCTGCTACTGATGACTACCGACCGGACACCACCACACACTGTGATTGAATAAGCACCGTTCGGTGATAATTTTGATCACCATTGCAACAGGTGGGACATCTGTGTAATTTTCAATAGTGACCTATTGAAAATCGATAAAGTGTTCATTTCAGCTGATTTGTAGAATTTTTTTCAATCGATTAGCTTGTTTAAAATTAAAATCCATCCGTTTTTGAAAGAGTTATAAGTGGTCAAAACCTGACGACTTTTCGTAACGCGGTCGATTTTGGTTTTTTTTTAAATTGCACCCCCAATATGTAATCCGAAGTCAAAATCGCTACGCATATATGTGTTAAAATTGAGAAATATCTAATAATGATTGATTTCCATGGCGTGGTTGTAACATAGAGGTAACTCTAAGACCACTGGGTCCCGAAGAAAATCATTATTATTTTTGGCTCACTCAGTACCAGAACAACGGTCCCAAGCAGTCCCAAGCTATTTCACTCACCCCTGCATGTTCTGCATGAATCCACACACCCCTGATGTTATCTGTCAAACTTTCATAGCGAATCAAAACAAACATAGTGTAGTAATAGAATTTCAACTAGAATAGGGTACGTTAATCGTTTGCTTGGGACCAATAGGCTACTAAAGTGGTGAGCCAATTTAAAATCGTTAGTTTCGTATTGATTGTTGGTATAGTCGCTATATGAATATAGCGACTATACCAACAATCAATACGAAACTAACGATTTTAAATTGGCGCACTACTTGACTAGTCTATTGGTCCCAAGCAAATCGACTAACGTACCCGATTCTAGTAAAAATTCTAGTACTACACTATGTTTGTTGTGATTCGCTATGAATGTTTGACAGATAAAATGAGGGGTTTGTGGATTTTCCTATGTTTCGAGGGGTGAATCGATTAGCTTGGGACCGAAGATAGTACCAGAGCTGAGCCAAAAAGTTGAGCTCGTTTCTTCAGGACCTTCTGGTCTTAGAGTTACCTCTATGACTATACTGCACAGTCGTTGGAATATCAGCTGCGTTGGAAGAATTTGTATAGTACATTAGTAAAAGCAACGTTCGTTCCGAGAGCAACTGACAATATTATCTGCTGGTGAGTCTTCTAGGCTACGCGCACGATGAAACCGATTTGCAGTAAGGGAAGGTCCATTAATTATGTCACGCAAGTTTGGCCCATTTTCAACCCCCCTCGTCCCTTTGTCTCATTTTTTGTGTGGAACTTATTTGTTTTTGTATGGCTCACCCCAGTTTCCAAAAACGCCCCTCCCCCCGAAAAGTGTGACATAATTAATGAACTATCCCTAATTGTGAATACAGTGTTTAGATAGTTTAGTACAGTAAAGGCTACAAGTATGAGTACACCAGGTATGCCCCGTAACGTGGGTAGATCACCTTTTCGTGGTACGTTACGGGATGTAAGATTGTACCCGACCTGACCCAGGAGCCCACCGGAATAAGTCCAACCACAAAAACAGAACACCCATTCTGAACAAAACTCCCAATTTGCACTGAAAGTTTCATACGAATATCTTAAAAATTATGGCGATTTTTGTAACTTCAACTATTATATTGGACCGAAACGGGATAAGTTTCTCAAATGTCATACAGATCCATCCAATCAAGCTCAAAATTACACTGATCCATCCTGGGGTCAAGATTTCATGTACATTCGAAAAAGTTACAGCTCTCTAAACTTTCTGGAAGAGAATCAAAATTGCGAGGTTATGTAAAATTTCATGCCAGTCACGTTTGATCGATGCATCATTTGACGTGGAACTGCTCTTAAGCTGAGTTTAGACTAGGCAAGTCATTTGATCAACTCAGTTGAATTCAATTGGCTTGAAAAGATGAGCCTGGTTCAACCTTTTTCAATTCAAGTGTGTTGATCAAGTCAGTTGAATCGAATGGTTTACACGTTCAATTCGCGTTCAAGTCAGTTGAAATCAACTATCTAAACCCAGCTTTAAGTTTGATTTATACAAGGCAAGTAAATTGATCAACTCAGTTGAATTGAACTGACTTTAAAGCTGGGTTTAGACAGGGCAAGTCAATTGATCAAGTCAGTTGAATTCAACTGACTTGAACGCGAATTGAACGTGTAAACCATTCGATTCAACTGACTTGATCAACTCACTTGAATTGAAAAAGGTTGAACCATGCTCAACTTTTCAAGCCAATTGAAGTCAACTGAGTTGATCAATTAGTTTGCCTCAACTAAACACAGCTTTAGGTAATATACAACGAGGCATGCTACTTTATATCCCAAACGATCCCTTTTCCTTCATCCCTACACACGCTACCGGTCGAGCACATCCGAACTTGACCTTGCAGCTCCGTTTGCATTCTTTTCAACGACTCTGTTCAAATTAATTCTTTACCCCGCCGAGCGCGCTCTGATCGAATGGAATCACGTTTTCAAAATCCAAATTCGTCACCAACCGAATACAGTAAAGTAAGCGAAGTGCCGATTTCAAACGTAAACAGAACAAGCCGAAGAACCACCAAAAGAGGTGATCCGTGCGAAGGCAACTCGATCGATAGGAGAGCGTTCACGAGAATGTTCATTCGTCTATAGTTAGTATAGCTCGGATCGGAACCAACACTTGCACAAGTCCGATTAAACCCAAAGCGCGAAGTGAGCACAGAGGAAGTGCATCGAAAATTGATAGTTAATAAATTTTGCAATCTTCTTATGCTGTGCACTCAGTTGACCGCCGCCGTCGCCGGACACGCTACTTGTTTGTTCGATTCGTGGGTCGAAGTTTCGTTCTGTTTGCGTTCGTAATCGAGCGCCAATAAATCGAAGAGGAATATCAATTCAGTGATTGGTCAAGTTAATTTTTAAAAAAAGGACAGAATGAGGAGACTACTAGCAGTGTTTATTTTGTGTCAAAGCTTACTAGGACCACCGGTCCAGGCGCAGATCGATGGCAGTTTTTGGTGGATGAATACCGATCTGGTCCAGAAGGCGGAACAGTATCGTCAGGAAAAGGATGTGAAAGCAAACGTAGTGAATAATGTGAGTACACAGTCAGTAGAACGGTAAAACTATCAACGGCTTACTTCCTCATTGCCGTGGGTAAATTGTGTTTTTGGATTAAAAGTGATTCATTGACTACTATTCTCGGTTGATTGCTTCTTGCAACAAGATCAAGCATGCTGATTACATTTGTGATAAGGATGAAGGTGATGAGTGCTTTTGTTCTACAGTGGGGAATCCCGCCACACATAGAGTCAATGCCGAACAAAACATTATGCGGTAATTTGCAATGAACCCTGTGTTTGTAGAAATATTTGTTGTGACGTAGGACTACGTCTTTCTTTACTATACTGAGGGTCACATTAAGAAATCGAAAATGGGGCATGTAACGAAAATAAAGGTGTTGTCAAACGCATATTTCTGCAAAGCATTGAAATATGCCATGCAATATGCCATTCGACGGGTAACTTAAATTAAACGACTAAGAAAGAAGCATCAAATGTTCCCATAAATTTGTTTAGACCACAAGGTGTCTTTCCCAACAGAGACATCACATAGTTGGTACCAAACGAAACAAGTCGAAGTAGCATTTCCATTCGAACATGAACATTTTCTAGATAACGTTATAGTTATGCTGGATTCAAGCAAATTGTGCTCGTCCATGCGAAGGCAACTAAATCAATTTTTAATTGGCCATTGCGAGAAGTTACAAAAGGTTTTGAGGGCATTACATTTGTTGCAACCGAGAGGGAAGACAGTGAGAAATTAAGAGCAATCCAGAGTAACTCTGATTATCTCGATAGTTTTGACAGCGCAGTTCAAGCAATCAACGTTTTCGGTGTAAAGGAACGTTAGTTTTTTTCAGCCGTTGATCTATGCCATCACGAAATAATGTTGCTGTTTTGATTTAAAATGAATGGGGATAGGGGGGCGTCTGTGGGAATTGGTGGAATAGTTTGTTCGTTTGTATTTTCCTGTTCTAGCAACCGAGACCCTCACAGGATTCATCCTCAAGTACATGTCCCCACCGGAGCTGGCAGCCGGAAGGGAATATCCATTCGCTTGCTCCTAGCATCTGTATGCCCAGCACTACGGTAGCAAGATCCTGGTCAATTTCATTATCATTGCAAAGATAAAAGTGCCCCGCAGAAAGCCATCATCAGTGTGATTTAAGAAAATATCCAAAACTTCTGGTAGAAAACTAGATCATTTATTCATGCATTGTTTTCGTTTCGTTATTTCAAAACTAGGGGAATTTACGTATTCTTGGCAACCTAAGCAGCGACCTGCTTTCTATACCCTTTTTCTCTATGGAACGCACACATATGCAGTATTGGTTTGTTTACAATCTTTTGCTGCCAGCTGCTCTAACAATTTCAGTCGAAAGAATTGTCAAAAACTGTTTTGAAACGCTTTTACAAAGCTCCAATCTTCTCAAGTGAGAGCGAGTATTGTCGGCAACCAGTTTTTCTTCGGCAACCGTTCCATTGGAACTGCATGTTAATCTGCTGTTCTATTATCGGCAACTCGAAATCAGCTACAATTTGAAGTGCGTTTCAAGAAAACCTTGCTAGATTGCTTTTTCTCAGTTGTAAAAATATAGTCAAATTGAAGCTGAAAGCATAAAGAATCGTTTGCATGCATTCAGCGAAGTGTTTTCGTAAGAAAATCCAGTGAAAATAGTGTTTCAATTTGGGTTGCCGAAAATAGTCTGTCATGCCGAAGCCGTCATTTCCCCTATATGCCCTTCTAATTCTTTTTTGTCACAAATTAGATCAGATCCCAAAGCAAACCAGAGTAGCTCTGAGCAACTCTGAGTAAAATAGGTACTCAAATGAAAGCCGTCTTCCTCCTCGGTTGCCACCTTGTCGCATTTATGGCGGTTAGCTCCAACTTGGATTAACTTTTAATACCGTCCCTGTTTGTATGATCTGCTAAATGTTTGCTTGGAGTTATTTTGATTAACTCTGATGTCGACATCAAACCAGCCGGACATTATTGATCGGGATTTAATCAGAGGTTGGAGCTTACCACCATTAATGTTACATAATATGAGCTTACATGTGTTTTGGAGTAGCAGTGTTACTGATGTTTTCAGCAGCTTCAAGAACCGCATATCATTGCAGGGAGTTGTTGTCAAGGCCATCAACATTTTTTTAAGAGTAAAATTAAAATTGTTTATAACATCCGTCCACATCATTGCCAGACAAATCACGTCCAGGGCGTCAGAATATCAGCTTAAATCAACAAACTCGATGCTACGAAGAGTCTGCTAGTTTTCTTTTTCTGTTGAAGTCGAACAGCTTCGCAGCTTTCTAGAACCTCAGTCGGTGTCTACCAATATTGGAAGATTGCCGCAAAAGCTCAACGCAGATGTCGCCACTGCATGATGATGATAATGTTGACAGACTGCATATAAAATTCGTGAAAATTAGCATTAAATCATAATTTTCATCAAGACTGCGTGAAATCCTTCCAATATAACATTCGAATTGAAAAAGAAAACGTTTTTACGATCAGACTGATGTGCATCTTTGCTTTTTGTAGGTGAATTTTCATTAGATATATTCATTTCATTTCACGGCTCCATCAATGCTGCATCGTAAATATGATGGTAAACAGAAGTAAATTGCTCAATTTCTCAAAATAAAGATGATTTGTCATCTTGTTATCACTTTGAAGACCATCTAGCACCATTTTATAGTATGGTGCGTGTTGAGTAAATCAAGTTCCGGTGCGTTTTCCGTCGAAAATTGTGAGTATCAATATGTATGCTTAAAAAAGTCCAAAATGAACATTTATTGAATATTGGCGTCCTATACAACCAATTCTCTATTACCACCAGCATGATACAACCTTTCCTAAGTAAATTCACTTAATTTCCACTTTCATCTTAGTGAAAATCGCACATATTTACCATTTTCTGAAAAATTCAGCTGCGCAGGAGGTAACCTCTCCCTGTGGATGCAAACTTGTTATGCATAATTTGTCATGAAAACATCTCCGATCCATACCGAAATAGTAACAAATAGTTTTCAAACACGTTTTCTTACACGATTCAAGAAGAAGTTTCCACGGGAAATTATTAGTTTTTCTTTATGGACCGATTTGCCCCAAAAAGCGTCTGCTTTACTTGGAAAATTTGGAAACTATCCTCCTTCTAGTAGTTCTCACTTCGAAATGTAGGTGGCTAAAGCTTGGAAAATTTTCACTGCAAGACGCCAATAGTCAACAATCAATACGAAACTAACGACACAGACAAACAGACATAACTCTCAGAAGAAAATTCTTCATAAAATATCGTCAAGCGTATTTTGCATGCGCACTAGCACCATCTATCATCCACATTACCAAACTCTAAGACCAGAAGGTTTCCGAAGAAACGAGCTCAACTTTTTGGCTCAGCTCTGGTACTATCTTCGGTCCCAAGCAAATCAATGCACCCCTCGAAACATAGGAAAATCCACGAACCCCTAATTTTATCTGTCAAACTTTCATAGCGAATCTAAATAAACATAGGCCAGAACCTATTTAGAGCAACCGTACCAGTCGTTGCCATTTGCGGCACTATTTTACTTACACACAGCGTTTCCATTTTGGCTTAATCACTCCTCTCCACACCGGTCGTTGCGATCAGAGTCATAATTTAAGTTACCGTTTTCCACACCGGCAGAACAAACTTTTAACGTTTATTCAAAATAGCAACCGTCTGATGCGTTGCTACCGGGTTGCTAAATTTATGAACTCGCTACTTCCCAAGGGGCGGATTGCTTTTTCCCCTACCTGAATAGCAACCCCCGGTACGCAAGTAGCGTTATGGTAGAGGTTGGTAAATGTGCCTTATTTACCCATGGGTACGGTTGCTCTTAGTGGTTTCAATGGGTTTAATGGATTTACGGGAATCACTAATATCGCCTATCGATTTTATCCGTTTGTTGATGATTTGGTGAGCCCAGTGTAAATAATGGCGGTTCACTTCATAATCAATGTTCGGAGCCGTTTTAGCTCTAATGCAGCTTCATGCAGAAAAACACCGTTTAAACACTTAACACTAGCACATAATAATTTATTCAAACTGAACTTAGACCACACAACTAGCACATTTATTAAATAGTAGTTTTCCTTAAAATTAAGGCAATACAAAATCACATAGTGATGTTTCACTTTCCTCGATCTTCGACCGTCTTCGATGCGAATAGTAGTACAGGGTGTCTACTCAATCCAAGGAATCAGATTCCCTGAGTTTTCCAGGTTTTTCCAGGTCGGATGAAAAAAATTCCAGGTGCATACAAATTATACACATTATTATTTTATCTATTTATCCATCTGGAATCCCTTTTATGTACTTATTGATTTATGTTATTTTCGATTGTTCAAACTTGGGCGTTGGTACTTATAAGTCGGCACAGCAAAAAAGCTATTGAATATTACAGCAGAACAGATGCACATAGGTTGTTTAATATTAATTTGTACAATTTATGTTTAGTAAATGCACCAATAGTGGAGGTACGTTAGTACAATGTACTTCTATAGCGGCTTAGGGAGACTCTATAAGCCACCATAGGAACACATTACACTAAAGTACCTCCACTATTGGTGCATTTATCCTACACATAATTTTCGAAAAGAAATCCATGGGTGTAATATTGTATTTGGTTTTTGCAATCACATTAGTTATTCATACAGTAGCATGCATTACGTCAATCAATTTACATTCTTTTTTGGTATTTGTGTAGTATTTTTTTTTTAATTCAAGAATATAAATAATAGTAAGAAACCTGTCTATACTATTTCGATAAAACGATATATCAAAATTTGATAACAATATGCTTTCAAAAACAAAATATCATTTTGATAATATGTTTGAGTCCAACTCTGTTTGGAAGATCAAAACAGAATAAATCATGGTTTCACATGTCTAAAATCTCTTAAGGTCCGTTTAGACTATCTGATTTCTTGGTCTGATTTTGACCGCCGCCATAATGAAAAATCTGCTCGAATTTATTTTCGACACACTTTGTCGAACCCCCCTGTTTGCT